TTCACATGGACGCTTGTGGTTGCGTTGCGGTGCAGAATTTCGGTCCAACGGCGGAATACTGAACCTATGTTCATTCCATGCAGCTATTCAAGAACAACCAGTCAACGTGGTCATAGGCTTTCTCAAAATCGATGAAGACCACGGCTATGTTCTATTTATCCTTCCACGTTAGTTTAAGGAGTTCATTGACCAATACGATGTTATCCCGAATCCCACGACCCTTGACAAAACCCGTTTGTGTCGGATGGATAATCTAGTCCAACGTTGAAATCAACCGGTTGGCTAAGGCTTTGGCCAACATCTTATACATGACGGTAAGCAGCGTGATAGGACTATAGTTTCTTATATCCATCATGTCTCCTTTTTTGTGTAGCAACGTGAGGAAACCTTGCGCCACCAGCTCCCCCGTACTCCCCGTCTCCCAAACTAGGCGATAAAATTTCATGAGGTCCGGGGCCATTTGAGACCAGAAGATCTCCCAGAACTCGTTGGGGAGTCCATCCGGCCCCGGGTTTTTTTCCTCATCCATTTGCATCATTGCTTACCAGATTTCCTCTTTGGATAGGGGCCGGTCCAGATCAAATCTTTGCTGGTCCGTCGCGGATTTTATCATCGGGTTTAAAAATTCTACAATTTCCTTCTCCCTCACGTCCTTCTCTTGTTAACCACACCTCGAGGTAAATAAGTCCTTAAAAAAAGTTTTTGCTATCTGTGTGCATTGAGGGGTAGAGGGGGCCATATCATTGTCACCGGACTGCGAGTCATAAAACGCTTCTATTTTTGTTCTCCGCATGCGTGCACGGGCCATACTGATTTTTTTTTCACCCATAAAACCTTCCTTTTGATGTCGTGTCATTCTTCCTCTTATGCGTATCCCCTCCCAGCGTTGTGTAGCGAAGGTTTGAAGGCGTTATTGTAGGGCTTTTATTTGTGAATGCTCTTCCGGTTGTGTGTCTCTATTATAATCTGCGTTATTTGCTGAGTTGTACTCTTGGTCAAGTTGCTGCAATTGTTAGTGGGTATCCATTTCTTGCTGATAACTTCTGGCTGCGAGTTGTTTTGAATATTCTTGGCATTTCCTCCCTAGATAAAATAGACCGTTATTAAACCAGTCAATCTCACCCGGAATATGTTGTTTCTGTGTATGCAAAAAAAAACAGCAGTCTGTGATGTACCTTTGGAATGAATGGCAACGTAAGATGTATACATTGAGTTTACAGAAGCCCGACCCCTGGTCCGTCTTCTTTCAGAATGATAAGATCACTGTGCACATCTTGTGGTCGAGACCCAAAGACGGACTTAGCCGGTAGTATTACTACTAACAACAATGCTCCGGTCAGGTCTTCCGAAAGTAAGATCAACTCGATTCTAGATCTCGACTGACTGTCGGTCCCAGTCTTACGTAAACAAGAATAAAATCTTGTGTCCGTGTTGAGTCTTCGGAAGGAGTCGAAGATGTTTAATGAAAGACTTAAATCCCTTATCATGCACTCATCTTCTTCTACATACGTTGGAGCAGGGGAAGGGGTCTTCCATTTATCCATCCACCGATCATGGGCCGCATTGTAGTCCCCCGCCATGATGATCGGGACCGCATCCAGAATCTGCGTTTTGATCCTCCCAAAAAAGGTTCTTCTTTCGCTCACGGTGTTAGGGGCATAAACGCACAGTATGCACACAATTTCTAGCTGCAGAGTGACCAGGACTGACACCCATCTGCCCCCTTCCTGATCCATTACCCAATGCACCGGGTCTGCCCAGGACCCGGGGGGGATCCAAATGGCCACCCCCGCAGTGCCAACTCTCGGGGCATGGGCTCTGAACGCTTTGTATGGCCAGATCATTTTTTGGATGCGGCTGTGTTCCGGGAAGTCCATCAGATGGGTTTCCTGAATACACACTATGCCCGGCTAGTCACTGCCCCCCTCCCCTCTCATCAAGTCCTATATTGCATTCTTCTTGTTCGATTTACACGAGGCCAGACCATCTACATTCAAGGACCGTAGATCAAGATCCGCCGCCTGGCGGCATTGGTTCCAGATACGGTCCTTCCCATATACCGCTGCTGACCGGGTCAATTCCCATCATGGCCGCTGGTTATTCACAATAGAGTCCACGACAGCTGTTCGTCCCAGTCCGCTACACTCGTCCGAAGGCCCAGTCGGAGGAGGGCGCATAGACACTTTTGTACGTCCTGTTCTGTCCAGATCTCACCAGGCCTGATCCTAACTGTCTGTAGGTCCAACATTTGGGCAAACGTGTGCAATCTCAGGCCCGCTTCTTTGGCCGCGTTATAGCGGACAAAAACATCTCTTTGCGAGACTCTGCCAGGGTCTTTTGTCACGGAGGCTGTAGCCTGCGCCCCTGGTGGCAATGCTTCTGCAATATGTGCTTCCAACTGCATTTGCAAAATCCCAATTGCTGCCGCGGTTTGGCTGCATTGTGCAGCCGCCCAGAAGGAAGACCAACTCTGCACCGTCACACCCCCTGGTCTGCCGTT